CCTTTCAAAATAATGCATTAGATAGCAACATTGTATTGATTCTGCCTATCATATATAGAAAAAAGTTTGTTGTTGATAATTTATGGCATTTGTGAAGAATTGAGCAAACCCAATATCCAAAAACAATCTTGATGTGCATGGTTTAAAAAATTGGAGTATTGTTATTAATTTCCGAGTTGACGAAGGCATTGTGTTTGTAATTTCCAAGTTGACAATTTTTGCTGAACCCACCGCGAGGCCCATAAAAAACCAGGCCTTGTCCAGCCTAACAATAAGCTGTACAACTTAGAAAGAAAAACCAGGGCCAAAAATCCTCTCACCAGCCCAGTCCACATAAGTCCGAAGACAGCAGCAGCCCAAAATTCTCCCTGCCCAACTCGCAGCCGGGCCCTTTATCATGTGGAAGCCCGAATGTGTAATCCAGGCTCTTCCTTTGCAGCAGCCCACAAGATCGCCTACTGCATTCAGCCCAAACAGAACCCCAATCCACTCCCNATATTCAGATTGCCAGAGGCTCCAAATTTTCATTTCTGATGCGGCATTTTAGGGTACGTTTGGTTTCATATTTCTACTCATATTCCTAATTCTATTTTCCAAATATTGTTTGGCACATTATTTGAGAATATTACTATATTTTTTAATTACTTTTAAACTCCTTAAGTTTATTAATTTTATTAAATACTTCTAGAAAAAAAAGTTTAAAAATTAACAAAAACACTCCCATCAACCCATACTTGCCAAATTCTGACAACCACCGTCGGTGGTAGCCGAAATCTATCACAACGGCCTACACCAAGACCGAAACTTATAGCGAGCAGACGAGACCCATTTGCAAGCTAACCAATTGCAGGATTGTGAGAGAAAGTTTGTGAGATTGAGTTGTAAATGTAGTATTGTCCGATTAAGGTTAATGCTAAAAAAGGCTTGTAACCTTTCAAATTAATGAAATAGATAGCAACATTGTATTGATTCTACCTATTATACATGGAAAAAAGTTTGTTGTTGACAATTTATGCCATTTGTGAATAATTGAGCAAACCCAATATCCAAAAACAATCTTGGTGTGCATAGTTTAAAAAATTGAAGTATTGTAACTAATTTCCAAGTTGATGAAGGCATTGTGTTTGTAATTTCCAAGTTGACAATTTTTGCTGAACCAACCGCACGGCCCATAAAAAACCAAAGAATAAGCTGCACAACTTAGAAAGAAAAACCAGGGCCAAAAATCCTCTCACCAGCCCAGTCCGCATAAGTCTGAAGACAGCAGCAGCCCAAAATTCTCCCTGCCCAACTCGCAGCCGGGCCCTTTATCATGTGGAAGCCCGAATATGTAATCAAGGCTCTTCCTTAGCAGCAGCCCACAAGCTCGCCTCCTGCATTCAGCCCAAACAGAACCCAATCCACCCCCTTATAAACCCAGTCCACCATCTTGTAAACCTTAACGATGAAACTCCAGGCCCAAACCCCATTAACTAAAAAAGCCCACCCAGCAAAAAAACCCAACTGTTCCTTCTTGAACCCAAACCAAGCACAAACACCATAACCACCCAGCTAGACAATTTTTTTGGCATGGCACGGCACAAAAATTTCATGCCATGCCATGGTCCGTGGGCTATGTGGGTCATGCCATGAGTTTAGGATTTGGCATGTGGACTAGGAGTGTTCAAAAGAACCAGTTGGAACCAGAACCGGCGGGTACCCTGGGTTTGGTTCCGGTTCCTACCCAAAACCAATCGTCAACGGGTAGGTTCCGGTTTCAAATTTTTGGAACCGTTACTGTGCGGTTCCGATTCCGGTTCCTATAGTTAGGAACCAGAACTGGAACCAGGAACCAGGAACCAGGAACCGAAGCTAATATAAAATAAAATTAAAGATTAGGGGGGTTAATAAAAACTTTTATAAAAAAAAGTAATGTGAATACATTTATATTTATATTTTATAACATTTAAAGTAAGTTGGTTTGAGTTTTGAGAATCTACCTTTATAAAGTAATGGAGTTTGTAATTTTGAATTTATAATTTGCAATTTTATTTTTGTTAACAAGTGCCAAGTGGGGGGGTATTTGTAAGTTTTTAACGGTTTTTTTGCTATTTTTAAAACTTTTGGGTGGTCATATAATTTTATAGGGTATCTAGAACCGGAACCGGAACCGTTGTTATAGGTTCTGGTTCTGGGTACCTAGGAACCGGAATCGTCGGTTCCGATTCTGATTCTAAATTTCAAGGAACCGTCGGTTCCGGTTCTGATTCCTTCAAAATATGTAGCGTACCCGGAACCGAACACCCCTAATGTGGACTGGCACTGCACAACCCATAAATTAAAAAAAAAAAAATTTTGAATTTTTTGAGAAAAGTTTATGCGGTAGTCGGGTCGGCCCACGAAAGCAGGGTACCCAAACAACCATCCAAGCAGACGTCCCCACATTAAAAAATTTCTCCCATCACTATATCGAAAACCATAAGCTTAATCGAATCGAAATCAACCCCATCTGCTTCATCTTCTTCTTCCCGTTTACAATATGCATGTTTTTAATGGTTTCTTCTTTATATTCGGTTTCGTTCCCTCCACAGTTGTCTTAGATCTTCTGTTCTCTCAACTAGGTATTCGCTTGTTTTGGACCTAGATACCTCATATCCCATAATTTGTAATTGCAATCTTTGAAGGTGGAGACTTGGAGAATGGAGATGCGATATTTATATGAAAATTATGACAGTGGTTATTGATTCTTGTAGCTCCTCTTCTTTTCGTAGGGATTTCACACGGTTGGTTCGTGAATGGAATACCTAAGACTTGCTCCTTGTTGTGAAGTGAACTCTCTTTTTATAACCAGCTAGGATAGATCAAAGAATAGATTAGATCTAACCATCTCTTTATGGTAGCTCCTCTTGCTAGGGGAATGTAGGCTGGTCGTAGATCTACTGCTTTCTAGATGTTTCGATCATACTTGTTATTATTGATTAAAAAGAAAATTAACAAAGATGTAGCATGTTTGTACTGGATAAGCACAAGTAATTTTTTTATTTTTCGATTCCAATTTCCTTTTGTTTTTTTATTTGTATACTAATTTTTTTTTCCTAGTTTTGGGCTCTGCCATATAGAACTGGACAAATACAATGGGGAATTAAAAAATGTTGTGGTCTGAATTGGTCAACAGCACAGCAATCCTCTGATCCTTAGTTTGACATCTTAAAGTAACCTTTGAAGGTGGTTGCTGTATTCCCAGCAATCTTTTAGTGTATTTTTAACTTGTTCATGGATTTTCCTTTTAATATGTGACTATCTTTTTAAATTTTGTCATTTAATTTGTAATCGAATGAGCAAAGCATCATGTTGGGAACTTCGGATTGTTATTGAATTATTTTGGGATAGTAAGTAAATTGTTATTAAAAATTTGAATGCAGCTGAATTTATAAAAATTAAAAAATCTGGATTTTTTTGCATTGCTGACGTCATTATGCTCTGTATGATGATATCACGGTTGGACCGGTCAACCCGGGACCTGGGCAGCAAAGCGGGTTGTCCAATGGGTCAGGTTTTAAATAAGTGTTATACACCCCCAACAACAAACCTCTATTTTAAAACCCGGACCAATTGGTCTTATGTCCGATCCGGGCCAATATAAAACCTGGTTATAATAAAAAAACTATGTTCACCTGCCATTGAACCGGATGAACAGTGCCACCCGCCCGGTAAATCGGTTCACTGTTTCAAATGAAAAAAAAAAAACCCTAACTCTATACTTTTTAAGTTTTTCTATGCAAAACAGCAAAGGCAATCACACACAACTACTCTCTAAATTGCAGCCACTCTGAGCCCTCTCAGAAATCGCAACCCGATCTCAATCAGCTCCACTCTCTCAAGTTTGAAATCGCAACCACTGTGTCAATCTCAATCGACGAAGACACCTCCCTTATTCGACGACAACGACGATGACATCTCCCTCCCTCGCTGGAAATCGACGACGACAACACCTCCCTCACTGGAAATCGATGACAACGACACCTCCCTTGCTCTACGATGACAACGCCTCTCTCCCTCGCTGGAAATCGACGACGACGACACCTCCCTTGCTTGAAATCGACGACAACGACACATTTCTCCCTCGCTTAAGCTTTGTAAAGGTATTTCCATCGTAAAAAATGCTTAGTGTGATTTGGGAATCGACGACAACTCCCTTTTTCTAGATTCTGCATGTTTCGACAGAGTTGAGTTTTGTTATTTTAAAATGCCTGGAAGTTTTGTTAGTTGTATTTGTTTTGAGAAGGGAAATAAGAGTCGGTTAATTAAATAATGGAAAGCTTGCTTGTTGGGTGAAATTTTTGGGCGTTGGTCTGCACTCTGGTGTGGTCGTCATTAATTCTGCTTGTGGGTGAAATTTTTGTTGGGCGTGAGTGGAAAGAATGGGTGAGAGACAAATGTTTGACTTTTCATTAATTCTGAAGTTGACTCCCTTTGTTGGCAGAATTGTTATAATAAAGAAAGTTCCACTACAACAAAAATGGCCTACGATAACACCGGACAGTAGCATTTTTCCTTAAATTGTTATTGTAGACTGTCTATGGTAACACTTGATGTTAAAATATTATGATAACATTTTTTATATGTAACATTTTAACTTTTTGTAATACATTTTATATCCATGGTAACTCTTTTTAGTAAAATGTTATAATATAGGAATTACAGTAGCATTTTAAAAATGTTACAATAGACCTAATAATATACTATCTTTTTTATAATGTTACCATATAATAAAAATACAGTAACATTTTATAAGTGCTACATAAACCCAATTATTTACGGGGAAACAAAATATTATTTCCTGTCAACATGAAATGAGGTTGATTTTGTCTCATTTTTTTGTTTAGGGGTCAAATTGACATTATTTGGGGTTTACTTTGTGACTTTTCATTCGTATAGGGCCCAAAAAGTCAATAAAAAATGTTGGAAGGTAAAAATAAAACTTATTCGCTGAAAAATGTGGGAAAGGTAAAAACCTGAAACTTATTCGCTAACTCATCTCATTCTCTTCTTCGTTCGTTCTCTTCTCACTGACTGCGCAGACTTCTTCATTCTTGAACTTGAATCTTCGTTCTTCGATCTCTTTAGTCTTTTCTTCGATCCTCATTCATCTTCGACCGATTGATCATCGTGGACCTTCGTTGTTTGACTTCGATCCTCTTTGAATCTTTCATCTTCGACCAATCGATCATCGTCAACATTCGTTCATCTTTGATTTCAGCGACTGTAACAGGTAAGTTTTTGTAGAGTACATAATTTCCCATTCACGTTTTCATTATTTTTCAAAATAACCTATATACTCTGTCTTTGTGGGTGATTTTAAGAATTAAAATCAGTTTGCTGCTTGGTTGAAACTTGAAATTGATAAAGCCAACAACTTCTTGCAGAACATTTTCATTTTAATAATGAGTTCAAGAGAAAAAAATACTATGCTTAACTTTTTGTTATACGTATTAAGATCAGGAATTTTTACATGTTACTAGTTTTTAACCAATTTCTCTCTCATTAAACAGAGGTTGTATGGTTTTGCCATATGCTTATCATAAGGTTTATTCTGTACACTACTGGTGAGTACTTCGTTTAAATTATCACAATTTTTTTTGTGGCTTTTAATGTTATTATTCTTTTTCACTGTTATCTTTCTTCATATCACAGTCAATGCTTGTTTTCTTTAATCCAATCAAGTTCGGGATCACATTCACAGTTGGGAATTTACTTTCACTTGGGAGGTTTGTATTTTATTTTTTTATATGTTGGGGTGTGGTAATTTATTTAATAGTTAGAAATATAGTTCAGCAGTATTGTGGTTTTTTGGATTTTTAGCTTATATTCTCCATGGTGGTTTAACGAACTGAATATTGAAGTCTTGTATCAGTGTATGTGTAGGCGTGAACGTGTAAGTTTATGGTGATTAGGAGTAGAGTGTGTACAGAAGTGGCTGAGATTTTTATACTTTTTTCATCGTTTACATTGTAGATGGCTGTTCAAAATCTTTTGATTTTGTCATTGATGAAGTGGCCAATTCCCACTGTACTATCCCTACCTCCAAAACCCCAGGCTTAAAAAACAAAACAAAGCAAAACACCTAGATAGTTATATTATTTGGTTGAGATATCATCTAACCATCTCCACTTTGCGTTTTCAAAATATTTATAATTAGATAAAGGAAAAAGGAAAACAGAAAGATCTCTTGATTTCTGCATCATTGCAGTTTAAATTTTTCCATGATCTCCTTTGTGAATGTTGGAACTGAGAATCATATTGCTGCTACCTTATTGTGGCTTGGGTTGATTAAAAAACATTCGGTAGTTTGAAATTTTAATACATGCATTTTTCTTTAGAAGCAATAACCTTAGGTGATGCATTTAATGTGATCTTTCTTCGATTTCATTGAGCAGGTTCATAACAAACTATTGACACTTATAGCAATCATTTTAGAGGTGCATTAATTTGGTATGTTGAACCACTTACATACTCTTCCATTATGAATATATCTTCTATTTAATCTCACTCACACCACATTGGAATTTGAACCTTCAAGGATTAAAATGATTATGTTTCATTTGCTTGGGCATTTGGACATAGTTTGGTTACGAGCTGCCTTGACCTATATATAAATATACATCCAAGTTATGTGTTTTACAGATTACCATTATATATTGTTGTATTGTTTCTTTTTGCGATTGAAGTTGATTTTAGAGTTACAACTTTTTCATTGCAGAAGGATTATGATAATTCATTGTTTTATGTCATGAATAGAAATGTTTCTTTTTTTGTTAATACTGTAGGCTTGTGATACTGCAGAACATTTTGGTTTTTCTCATTCTGAAACACACAGAAAATGGTGCCCAACAGAACCAACAAGAGGTTGCCTAAATTCTTCAAGGTCTTCATCCCAAGGCTCAGCTCTGCCAGTTTGGTACTTTCATCTTCCTTTCTGCTCTTATGATCTGTGTTTTTCCTTTTTTTTTCTTTAATTTCTATTTGAAGTTCTTTTGGTTGGCACGATGAAATCCTCTCTCTGCATTTCCTGGTCGATTAATGGGAGAAACTTTGAGAGAGAGGGTGAAAGCTTAAACCTTTCTCAGAGCTTGCTTTTGAGAGAGCTTCATGTACTGTTGTTTTTAGCAAACAAACAGAATATATTTGGTTTTCCATATCCATGTGAGTCCTTTACATAAGTTTCGTTTCTTTTTCTCTTTGTTGTGATTTTCTGGAAAATTATTTGGGTTTGAAGCTAGTTTGATGTTTGTTCATTTTGGGCAGAATTTGTTTGGTTCATAAAAATAGTATATATAACTCATTTAATGTTCTTTTATGATTTGGGATTCATTAAATTTTCATTCTACAACATTATTTGATGTTAATTAATTGTTTCATTTACATATATGCACAAATTAGTATGTGAAAGAGTAAAATTACTGAAGAAACAGATTTTAACAGTTTTCAATCGTCTTTACATGTTATGATTGAAATTTAATGATGCAATTGATTTCTTCTGTAGAAAATCCCGGATGCTTGGGTACAACACTTGAATGCATTACCAAAGAATGTTGTTCTTCAGAATCAAATCAGAAAAATTTGGCATATGCTGACAATAGGGTATATTTTGCAAATGGTTGGCAACAGTTTGTGAAAGACAATTCTAGTGTTTGGAGATTTTTTAGGTTTTCAATACAATGGTGACAATGGATTTAATGTTAAAATATTTGGGAAATCTGGCTGTGAGAAGAATGAAACTGGTCCTTATGTGGGCATTGATATAGAGGAGGAGGAAGAAGTGGAGGAACACGGAATTACTGATGTAGGTACTGATTTTGATGATGATCATGGTAGTGACAGTGAATATAATGTTGAAGAAGAGGAGGAGGAGAAGGAAGAAGAAGCATCAGAAGGAACAACTATATTGAAGCAGAGAGACAAAAGGATTTGTGAAAATGATGGTAAACATCAAGTATTTTTTTTTTTTTTTTTTTTGTCATTTCAAAATAATTCTATGTGCATGTGTGAATGCCGTAGAGATATTTAATAGGATTTGTGCGAGATAAATGAAACCCATTGTTAATTTGATTTAAGAGAAGGATCCAAGAAAAGTGCCTGTGTCGAGGCAAAAACGTCTCAAGAACTTGACAATGTCTTGACCAGAGAGGAAGTGAGAAAATATGTTTATCTTCAAAATCCCTACTTTTTATCAAAGCTAAAACAAACTAGAAAAGTGCCGGTGGTTTTTAGTTTGTTTTAGCTTTGACACAAAGTAGGGATTTCGAGGATGAACATATTTTCTCACTTCCTCTCTGGTCAAGGCATTGTCAAGTTCTTGAGACGTTCTTGCCTTGACACTGGCACTTTTCTTGGATCCTTCTTCTGAATCAAATTAACAATGGGTTTCATTTATCTCGCACAAATCCTATTACATATCTCTAGGGCATTCACACATGCACATAAAATTATTTTGAAATGAAAAAAAAATATTTGATGTTTACCATCATTTTCACAAATCGTTTTGCCTCTTTGCTTCAATATAGTTGTTCCTTCTGGTGCTCCTTCTTCGGTTTCCTCCTCTTCAACATTATGTTCATCCCTGAAGTGTTCGTATAACTGGGTACAAGAACCAACAAAATTGTAGTCTGACATGGGGTATGATCATGGTGCATGGTGGCATGTCTTCGCATGATCAAGTTTCTTGCTAAAACTCGTCGTTTCTTTGCACCCGTACTTTGTGTGTTGACATTTTATTTTGATGGATTCTAAAACTTTATCAATTGCTCGACAACAGTTATATCCAATAGGCAAAAAACAGGAGGGACATTCGTTCATAATTTTGGTGCAGCAGGAAGAGCAAGCTATATGTCCATTTTCACACTGACATGCCACAAGCATGGAAAAAGACGTCAGATTGTTATATTTGGACAAGGAATTGCTAGTGCAGGGAAGATTATCAAAAAGATTTCAGAACATAAATATATGTAAATGCTCAAGCATGCATGTCCATTATACATACCTAATAATTTACATGCACTCTTATAACAGTATAGGATATGATAAGAGCATGTAACACAGTTTCTTCACAAAATTTGTATATTTCACATTATAAAGAGAGCTTCCAGTATACCAATATCCTCTAGTAAGAGAAAATTTCATGCAACATAGAAGACAAGTACCCAGACTTTACTCCTTGACACATATACACACATGTATTTATGCATATATGTATGTATGAATGTATACTAAACACAAATGATATTTGCAGAGCATAAAAAGAAATGACAATGAATTAGTCAACTAATCACCTGGAAGCGTTTCATCAAAGCTACACGGCGTCAACTGGCCGTTGTTTGGAGGGTTCGAGCTTATTCCTTCTATTTCTTGTCGAGGAAATCTTTGGGTGCGTTTGGTTTAGTATTTTGGATAGGATTTTAGGGGTAGTATTGGGTTATTGGATATGGGAGTATTACGAGGTAAATTTTAAAAATTTATAAAAAAGCCCTTAGGTTTACTAATTTAACTAAAGACCCTAACATGTAAAATGACAAAAACACCCCCACCACTGCAGTGTCAGATTCCGGCCACCACCGCCGGAATCTGACCGGAAAATTTCGTTACGGCACAGACTTGTCGGATCTGTGTCGTACACATCGTTATGGCCTTTTCCGCTAGACCTGGTAGATCTGGCCGGAAAAGGCCAGATCTATGGTTTGTTTGGCCGTCGACGGCCGGAAAGGCCAAACGACGGCCACTTTGGCCGTCGTTTTCGGTCGACGACGGCCAAGATTTGCCTCGTTGTCGGTCGACGACGGCCAAGATTTGGCCGTCGTTGTCGGTCGACGACGGCCAGATTTGGCGTCGTTGACCGTCAACGACGGCCATTTCTTTGGCCGTCGCTGACGGCCAGATCTGGCCTTTTCGCCAGATCCGTGGTGGATCTGGCCGGAAAAGGCCACAGCGGTGAATCCGGCCATTTCTGGTCGGAAGTTTGCCGTTGTACAGATTCGGCTATCACCGACGGTGGTTGCCGGAATCTGACAAGTTGGGTTGATGGGGGTGTTTTTGTTAATTTTAAACTTTTTTTTCAGGTATTTAGTGAAATTAATAACCTTATGGGGTTAATGTAATTAAAAAAAATAGGTATATATTTGAGAATATTGTACCAAACGCGATTTGAAAAATAGATCCAGAATAGGGATAAAAATATTAAACCAAACGCATACTTTGATGTTGTAAATTAACGTTATGAAAAGGGTACAGTTGGGGCAATTCACCATTACTTGTAATCTCTCTCAAGTTAAATTCTGATAAGTCTTAATTATCAAAATTTAATCTAGTTTTAATAATAAAGATTCATCGGTCTCTTTTCTTTAAAACTTTAATAGTCTGATAAGTTTGTCCTTTGTTCGCCGTTAGAATATAAATTTAATAGTAAATTGGATTTTAAAAGTATTGGTGGAAAAAGTAATTAAACCTTATATGGTGGGAAAAAGTCGTTTACTCTAAAAATAAAAAACCCGAAAAACGAAAAGAAGAGGCCTGATTCGTCGAGCTTTCTTTCCGGCACAGATTTCAAGCACAAAGAAGAGTGTTATGCGAGAGAGGAGAGAAAGAAAGAGAAGTGGTGAATCAACAAGATTAGAGGAGAGAATTTGAAAGCAAGAGATGTGAAACCAGACATGATGCAGGACCCACCACCGCAACAGCAACAGCAGTAGCAGCGCTACTTCCGTCGCTCTTTCCAAAGGACTCCACTTCTTCTTCTTCTTCGACAATTACTGCGACGCAACGGTAACAGCCTCAACACAGCAGCGGCAACTTCGATAGCACAACACAACAACCACCACAGCCAGGGGCGCCTCCAACTCAGAAGACAGGACTCAGCTCGGCTTGGCGCATCACCTCACTCCACCGCTTGATTATCTTCCTCCTAACTCTGTTTGTCACACTCACTCCGCTTCCTTCCTCTCCGAAGGCTTCTCTCAGCTTCTAACCGACAAGATTTATGTACAGTTTAGTTTTTATTTTCTGGTTTTGAATGTAATGCACAGTAGATGAAAAAATAAAAAATTGAAGTTTTAGTTGTTTATTGTTTTGATGGATTGACATTAGATGCTGATGTGTATGCTGTTGAAATTTTGGAGGCTTGAATTTTTTAATTTTGTGGAAACTGAGTTTATTATCTGATTGTGATATAATGAAACAAGTGGCTTAGTTAATGCTGTTCTTGGCCTATGGAGATTGTAGATTATTGTTTGGATGGAATTTGACATTTGACACTTAATTGTTTGACAACCAAGTTGGTATTTGATTTTGAATGCTTGAAATGTGTGGCTTAGTTAATGCAGTTTATGACATGGATGACTGGTCCGGAAGAAGAATTTTGAAATGGTTAAATGATATTGTGTTTGAACGTACTAAGATCATGTGTAGTTTTTGGGATTAATTTTTGATTTTTTTTTTGTTGAAGGTCATATGCAGTGAGGCAGTCTGCAGCAGTTGCTTATGGTGCACTCTGTGTGGTGGTTTCAATCCCTATAGGATCAAATGGTCGGCAGAACCATGTTATGCTTGGCAGTATGGTGGATCGGTTCATTGGTTGGGCTTTGCCATTGCTTAGCAATGTCAGTGCTGGAGAGGACCACGATTGGCTTTGGAAGGATTACGTGAGTTTCTTATTATTGGGATGTTGGTGGGATTGAGAGATATGCTTTACCAATCCTCAAAGCATGTCAAGAACTTCTTGAGGATGAGAGAACCTCCTTGAGTTTATTACACCGACTCTTGGGTGTTTTAACTTTGATTTCGTTGAAGTTTTCTAGATTCTTCCAACCTCATTTTCTGGACATTGTTGATCTACTTCTTGGATGGGCATTGGTACCAGACCTTGCTGAATCAGATAGGTGTGTTATTATGGATAGTTTCTTGCAATTTCAAAAGCACTGGGTGGGTAGTTTGCAATTTTCGCTTGGACTTCTGTCTAAGTTCTTGGATGACATGGATGTGCTGCTTCAGGATGGGAGTCATGGGACCCCACAACAATTTCGACGATTGCTTGCTCTGCTTTCTTGCTTTTCAACGGTACTGCAGTCCACTGCTTCTGGGTTGCTCGAAATGAATCTACTCGAACAAATTAGTGAACCAATTAGCAAAATGCTTCCTTCGGTTGTTGGGATATTTATCAATGGTTGGATGGAAGTTTGGTTGGTCAAAATGGATTGGGGATTCATGGAAGTGCTTGACTCTCTTGGCAGAAATATTACGCAAAAGGTTTTCCACCTTTTATCCACTTGCGGTTGATGTTTTGTTTGAAAGTTTGCAACCTCTTGGAGCTGGGAAGATTACCTCCTTTCAAGTTCATGGGGTTTTGAAAACTAATCTTCAGCTATTATCTCTGCAGAAGTTTGGTCTTCTTCCATCATCTGTGCAAAAATTACTTCAATTTGCTGCACCTATATCTCAGCTGCGTTTGCATCCAAATCACTTAATAACAGGGAGTTCTGCTGCTACTTATATTTTCTTGCTTCAACATGGCAATAATGAAGTTGTTCAACAGGCAGTAAGCTCATCGATTGAAGAGCTGTAATTGTTGAAGGGTATGCTTGGAAAAACTTCTGGTCATGGAGATGAGGTTGATAGTGCCACAAATTTTAAATCCTATTCAAAACTTGAGTTGTTTGCATTTATTAAATTTGATTTGAAAGTTCTGTTAACCTGTGTTTTCGTTGGTGGGGGTATCGGTTTGATTGGTCAACCAGATGTTGCTGCCATATATCTAAAACGGCCAGAAAAATTGGTGTCCTTTATTATAGAGGAACTAGATCCTTTTGAATCAGCTATTCAGGAATCTGTGGAATTGCAAATCAGTGTTATCAAAACATTGGAAAAGCTAACTGCAGTTGAATTCTTGAGCAATATTTCCTTATTATACCAGAGTACTGATAACGCTTCAGTGGATGGTGCTTCCAAGAAGGTCCTAAATGGTAGCGGTTTCAGGGATAGGTTTTCAGCTGCGATTGTTGATCATATGAAGAAGAACAAAGAGCTCATGGTGAAAGCTCTCAATTTTTCTTCTCCCCTTGGAGTTAAAGTAGCAGCCCTTGAATGGGTTAAAAAATTTTCTGAGAATCTTGTTTCTATTAATGAGAAACCAAATCTGAACACTTATTTCTATGAAGCATTTGGATATGTTAGTATTTCTGGGAATATGGTTTTCTCAGTCTTGGAAGCTGCATCTGACAAGGAACCAAAAGTGAGGTCACATGTTGCATCAGTCTTGGAGCTACTTCTGCAAGCAAGACTCATACATCCCATGTATTTTTCCTCCATAGCTGAAGTGCTCCTGGAAAGAGTTGGTGATCCTGATATTGACATAAGGAGTGCATTTGTTAGGCTGTTTTCCCATGTCTTGCCAACAATGATGTACACTTGTGGTCTAAATGATTCTGGAGTATGTGGCACATGTAGGCCTGGTTTTCTTACATTAAGCAATGGTTCCAACTTGCACTGGAAGCAAGTATTTGCCTTGAAGCCACTAAACTGGCAACTTCACTCACAACAACTTGTTTCCGTTTTGAGCTACATTTCGCAAAGATGGAAAGTGCCTCTTTCTTCTTGGATCCAGCGGCTCATTCATAGCTGTAAGAGTTCAAAAGACTACACTTCGGGTCAACATGAGGAAACAGGAAACATTGGTGTCAATGACATATGGTTGGATATAAAAGTGGGTGAGGGTATTCTGGAAAGAATTTTCTCAGTTAATAACCTGGCTGGTGCTTGGTGGGCTATACAGGATGCGGCCAGATATTGTATTGCTACACGCCTTAGGACTAATCTGGGTGGGCCAACCCAAACTTTTGCAGCATTAGAGCGAATGCATTTGGACATTGCACATGTGCTACAACTTGATACTGAACAAATTGATGGAAACTTAAGTATAATAGGTTCTTCTGGTACTCATTTGTTAACAATGAGATTGCTTTTAGATTTTGTTGAGGCCCTCAAGAAAGATGTGTATAATGCCTATGAGGGATCTGCTGTTTTACCACCCGCTACTCGCCAAAGTTCATTGTTTTTTCGAGCAAACAAGAAAGTCTGTGAGGAGTGGTTTTCTTGCATGTGTGAACCGATGATGAATGCCGGATTGGCACTA